AACAGAGTGGAAAACATGGTTAGAACAGTCCACGTAAAATCTTTCTCCCGTTCCAAAATTGGTTAAAAGCATTTTCTCGCAAAGTCTCGCAAACCGCGGTATCTTTTCACGGCAATTAACCCAACGAAGGGCAAAGCTCAAATGTTGCGTCACCAGGTTTTTCATGGGTAAAAATTCTCATTGGATACGTGTTCCACGTCTTCTCCGTCATCTCTTCTTATTTCCCTCTTCCAACTTTCCATTTTCATCCTCTGTACCCCTTTATCTTCTCATTCAATGTTATCATTCATCATCCCTTACTCTCTTCTTATGTTTTATTGATCCCCTCAACCTTCTCATACTGTGAGAACAACGAATTCGACGGATCAGAGAGCGGGATTCCTTTTTCGCTGTTTGGGGGAATCCTCCAAGACCCACTTCCGGTAAGCAGGTACCAGTGATGTCAGTATAAACTGAGTTGCCGGATCATAATCACATTGGATTCATGATCTTTGAATTATTAACTGAAGAATTACTGTGCTCACAGTTAAACTGTGAAATCTCTTCGGAAATTACATCGTTTCCCTATACAAGTCACTCAATCGCGTTAATTTTGGCAGAATTGGGTACGAAAATTGATAGCCAGCAGATATTTCCGAAAAAAGGAAGAAAAACAGAGGAGGAAGTGTACTCTGTATCATATTAACATATTTTCTGTGGGGTTTAGATCCATTGGTTTCACTTTTACATTCAAGGCCAGGCATCAGAACTGTTCCACATTTGGCAACCAATATTTTATCTTATTTCTCTTGCGAAACAATTCATTATGTCATTATGTCATTCTGTCATTCCATATTTCAATTTCTGTCAGTAGATGACGTATCGTAGAAGTAATTTTGCGATTTGAAATCCTAGTTCATGACAACCGGTTCAAAAAAAGCCCATAAAACTCCGACCAGACTGTCCTGACGTAAGTGAACAGTTCTTTGCAGGATAAATCTCCGAAGTGAATAACAGCAGACCCGATGAAGGACGACCACCTCACCAAAATAAAGCTCGTGTGGGTAGTCGATGTTTTATCTCGAGAATTGTTCATTGTTATAGCCTACACCCATCAAGAATGAAATTTCTATATTTATTGTTACTTAAACCTCACCAGATTCTAATGCCCGGAATTTAAGTATAACTATCTTCTCTACTACAAAAAGCCCGTTGAAGTTAAACGGGAAACGATTTACACATCATCACTTTCTTCTTTAATACCTTTATCTCCTTTAGAAGCGCTTCTAAAACCTGCCTAACGGTCGCAGCATTTGTAAAATATAATATTTTTAGACCGTACATTACTTTTTAAATAAAAAAAAATGACTACCTCGCTGCAATACAACATGGAACCATACTTTCAAACCGATTCAATGCCAACGTTAACATGGCGTGACTTTAATTTAAAATATTAGATTACAGTGGTTTTGTAAGTCACTGCACCAATAATCAGAGACGATTTATGATTTTTCTGTTGTAACATGTTTCGATATCAGTCATCTTCAGGATGTGTTATATTGTATATTCAACGCGAATGTCTATTACGTGTCTTATTTTTATATACTCATGTACATTAATAGCTCAGTTACTTAGTCACTGACACAAACAAAGGTTATAACGGAATGCCCAGTTTCACACAAAACCAGATTGACTTACCTTACATGAAGAGTCTATAAACAACAGATCAAGGTCCACTGCTAATTACAAATGCTTCGAAACGAAATGCAGAGATTTTTTATAGGCTTATTGGGTATAAAAACTGGAAATAGCAAGGATATTTAAAGATTTTAACTTTTTGTAATATAAACGAGTTTGGAATCTGGTTAAATATACAAAACAGTAAGAAAATGGCAAATATTATTTAAACGAAGACGATGTTAAAGCTGTACTACATGTAAAACACAACTTAACAAACAAAATAGAAAATTCAAAACAGTGCCACCCGGGAAATTAATCATCTCGCATTCTACGTAGACGTTGTAAACATAGTAGCAATAATAATTTTACGTATGGTGTTTATTTTAAATTGAATAAAACCTGTTGATCAGAATCATAGAAGAACACCAAACAAAACGCATAACGACAAATCTGGTCTTAACAACTCAAATTTTGTTACTAGTTACATTAATCTTACCTTTGTGTACAAGTTACCGATGACAGATAAAGGCAGCGAAAGGTTATACTTTCATTGACGCTCGAAGTTTAAAACTGTATGTCGTAATCCAACTGTTATGACGTTTAATCTAGGTTTATACTTGTAGTTTCTTAACAGTAACACTTCGTTAATAACAATGAACACACAATTCATACATCTCCTACTCCAACAAACTTCAACAGCCGTCTGCTCATTGCTGACGGTATGCTAGACAAGTATTAGCTGAAACCATCCTTCCAAGCTTGCAAGTTCATACACGCCACCGTACCACAGAAGAACAATTAGTTTCTAATTCTGGCGGTAGTTGGCACTACTAGACAGGAAAACTACATTCTTGGGGTGCCTCAAATAATTCTCAGGCTACCACAAGGAGCAGCACTTGTCAACTAGGCGAATTGTATAAATCGGAATTAGCGTGAATGAATGAAATGATGTCGTTTATCTATTAATGCACCATACTATTCGCCAGATCACTAAAATGGTGCATAAAATAAACGTTTTGCTAAATAACGCAACCGTATCATCTAAAAACTTTGGCATTATGGTATGACTGTTGGGGGGAAATTTATTAATATTGCATTTTGGCAAAACTGGACTACTACACCAGAAGTAGAATTTGAGGTTTTCAAGGCGGTGAATCCGAAGATGGGTATCATCTGAGTTGTAGCGTTGTGTAGTCCGGTTGGAGTTTACCATTGACTGAATTGCCCTGATGATGGAGGCAGCAAGGACCTCTGAAACTTTGGTAAACTTCTGCCAAATTACACGGGGTACAATCCAGAAGACAACCATCTTCTACACCAGAATTTGTCAATGCTTTAATGCCTGACACATTTATCAGTTATTAATAACTGTCTGAAATTTCCTTGGCTAAGAAATGTGGCTGATAATGTATTATAAATACACTTTCAGCAAAGAAGATGCTTTACATATCTTATTAAAATGTTCAGAAATGAGGAACTGTAGGGAAGATTTTTTTAATAGGAAGTGGCTTATTGTTGATGGGGTAGCTTATACACAAATAATAAATTGTACTAATGCTGCAGAATTAATCCTTCAGAGATTAAAGCTCATCTGAATATTATTTACTAAATTAATCCAAACTGTAAAGAAAGCACAACAGCCCTCAAAAGAAATTTTACAAACGGTTTCATTGTAAGCTTCTATATTTATAGAATCCTATACACATATAAGGATAATAATCATGTAATGATGAAATGTGGGTAAACAATGTGACAACACATATTTATCCTGATGTTGCTAATTTTAAGTAAATAATTTTTCAGCTTACATTGAACCCCATTTGTAAATTACCATTTTATCTCAAGAATATAACACATACCCATTCATCAAAGAAACATTGCACAAGAACTACTTATTCAGTTCTTCTCTTGGTGTGCCTCTGTATTTCAGGTGACTACGAATATACTGAAAGAAAATTAACAAAAATTATTAAATCTAAATTAAACAAATTAATTAAAAATCTACATAAGTAATATTGTTAACTTATATTTGTAAGTAATGAACACTTCCCTTCAATATAACTGTCAACAAATTAAAATAATACTAGCTTAGCACTTAGAACTGTGAGGAACTTGACTAAAAGTATATAAATATACTAATAATGCCAGATGTTAGTACTGACTTATCTTTGTCTAGAAACATAACCTCAAACTACCTGACACATTTGTTTTCTTTTTCATCGGTTTCCAGTCCAACTTGGTTTCACAGGCAAATCACATCAGCTGATAAAGTAAATATTTTAGATTCATGTCACCTTAAAGTTGTCTATTTGATAAACTAATATCAATTTATATATTTTCATATGAGTCTGTGCTGTAGAAGAAACTTCCAAAATAATCAACTTCTACACTTTACCTGTCGTTTCCTGTTCTGTTTATGGTAACATAAGTTGGAGATAACAGTTTACCTGTCTGGTGTCCTCCAAAGTGACAGGCTTATAATCAGCTGATATATTTTCAACAGCAGCGCAATATGCTTCATACATTCTTTGCTGACTATTCATAAAATGCCTTGTTAATTCAATTTGTTGCTTTAATACCTTAATTAATGTTAAGTCAACTGGAAATGTTTTTCCTGCAACAAGTAAATCCATGTAATTAGCTGATACATTCTCTAGTGAAATACAATATACTTAATATATTCTTTGTCAGTCACTTCATTAATGACAACAGCTTATGGTGTCCTTTCCCAGGGGTAAAGTTTGACCAGGGTGTGACACTGATCGATCACCCCAAAGCGCATTAATGGCATGTAGCGGAACAAATTTTTTTTTGTACCGGACAACACGTTAAACTACAACTTAAATTATTTGTCTCTTTGCAAAGTTTGTTCAAGCCACTGACACCCAAGTAGATGGGATGCAGTAAATAATTTACCTACCCCACAATTTGTAACTATAAGTTCTAACTCTCTTCGAACATAGAAAATAAATAAACTGTACTATTAGTTGAGATTCGAGGCTATCATGGCAGTGAAAATATGGACTTTGGTCTTTGAGTTGTAATGCAACGAAGTCTTGTAAGATTCTAAAGAAAAGAGCATCTGTATCTTGAAGTGAAGACAACCCTGAAGATGGAAGAGACACATACTTCCCAAACAATGACCTACAAGGCTACATGCACCATTATTTTTGTGCTACTCTGCATGGTATTTTACGTATTCACATACATTTATTATTTCTTTTTTAACCGTAGTTAAATCGTGGCACAGAGGCAATGAAACAATATGCGTTGCCTGGTCACACACGTTTATCCTATAGCATGATATGTGTACTGTTTTTATTTTCCCATTCAAACCGCGAATCAAGCAAATAAACTAACCTTGAAACTCCATTGCTCTTGAGTAGTACCCATAAACTGGCGTTGTCTCCTGAATGTTGTGTGATCTTCCAGTATTTGCAGGAAATATTGGATGGCTGAAACTTGATTCACGAAGACCACACACACAATGATGCACGACGTTACTATCAGTCTGAATCCCTGTACTGCAGTATTTTATGTCTGATAAAGGTTTCATGTCAGTTTTATTAGAATTTGACCTATAGGTTACAGATTTTTCAAAATCTGAGGGACTCCTTGATGAGGTTTCACCATGTGCTGATGAAACAGTTCTATCCTCAGACTCTAATTTCATTGAAGAAGAAAGGACATCTCGATTGTCAGTTGATTCTTGTTTTGATTCGTTAGACATCAGTTCTTTAGACAAAGATCTGCCGCTTATACTAACTTGTTCATTTGAAACATTTTGTTTCTTTGAGAGAACCTGTTTCACTGTGCGTTTAATTTCGGAATGACTAGAAACTTTGTTCATCATTTCTCCATATGACGAATTTGTTCTGACTGATAAATCATTGATACTCATGTTACTGTTCTCTGGTAAGTCATCAATAACCTCTGATTCAATTTCTTCTTCAATCCGTTCACTAATTTCCTCATTTGATTCTAATGCAGTGTTCTGCTCACTGATGGAATGTATTGCTTCCCTTGTATTATCATTAATTTTATCTTCCTTTCCTGACACTGTCCTATTCTTTGTTAAATCACATTAATTTTATCTTCATTTGCTGACACTGTCCTATTCTTTGTTAAATCTTTTATCCCACTCTGAATATCTGAATTTGCTTTTTCTTCCAATACTTTCACTTCATGAGCAGTGAGAAGATCTTCAACATTAAAAATTTTATATGGTCCTGATTTGAAAAGTCCATAACTTCCTACTGATGAAACACTTAAATTACTTTGTTCTGACATAACTGAATTATCTTGATTTGATTCTAGACCAGTTATTTTCTGAGTATCTGAAGTAAGAATATCGCCTGATAATAAATCCTGACCTGTGTGCTTTTCCAAATAAAAATTTGTGTTATGTAAAAGTACTGTCTTTGAATTTAGCACTGCTTCAGAATTTGCAAATGAATTCTCAATTGAAGATACTTGAGTTTTTATTGCTTTACTTTCCTCTTCAAAACATTCAGTAGGAATCGGAGTGTGACTTCCTACACATAAAGAGTTCACAGAGTCTTGGGACTTCTCTAACATTTCTTTTGACTGAACTTCTAATTTTGAACTGGTATTGTTTGAAAGTACTTTACAGTCAGCACCCCTTTCATTTGATTGAAAAGAAAGATTTTCACTTCTGGTAATGGCATTTGGCATGGCAGGCTGTACATTTTGCTCAATAAAATCATTATTCGATTTAGAGTGCACTTCTATATGACTAGAGTTGTTGATTTTACTCACTGGATTCCTCAATGAGAACTCTGATTTGTTTGAGATTTGATATGATTTCTTATTATTAAATTCAAGTGTATCTGACACATCAAATGATTCCTTGTTAAATACATCTTTTCTAGAAAATACAGGTGTACCGTCTACAGACGATAAGAGACTGCGATTGTTATTTGATGACCTTCCAAACAAATATGGTGACTGCAGTAATCTCCTTTCAACAGCATTAGGTTTAAGGTCCAGTGATATATTGGTCTTTTTTGAACTTGCAGATGAAGATTTATTTTCATGAAAAGTGGACAATATATCATTTTGAACAAGCATCACCTTCTGTCCTTTAGCAGGTTTCAGGGAATATTTCTGATCAAATTCTTTTAGTGTTTTAAGAATACTACTGACATCACAACTTTTAAACTCTGAATTTGATTTCCCTAATCGAGAAGGTTTTGTACTGTTCAATATTTTCGAATTGAATTCCTTTTGTAGTTTAACACCTTTGTTTGTTTTGCTAATGCTGACTTTCATTACACTCTGTACCTTAGAATCACTGTAACTGGATGTAGTTGACTGGGATTCAGCATCAGATAATGTTTGACCAAAGGAATAATGATCTGAACACATTTTAATACAGATGAATGAACGATATGACAAGTAATTTTCAATATGTCGTTAATAGAATAGAACATAATAGACTACATAATTACACGACTCAAGTGAAATAAACTCCAAATTTAAAATTTCATTCTGAGAACAATATTGACACAAACATGTCGCCATACTGCATCAACTAAACTATCGTTGCCATGGGAACGGATCGATTTGCCTTACAGGTTCGGCAGCTACACATCATGCCAGGTATACTGCCTGCTCGCCCCTGTAAAATTCCGGTCTCTTCCTTAAAGCGAGTTTAGTACCTAACCCGAGCGTGGTTGGCATTGATTGGTTGATACGTATTAACCAATGGCAGTATTCCATCTGTCTGTCCACTGCGTTGCATTACGGTATCGGGACTCTTGTTTGTGCCGGTGGTATTTGTTAGAATATTTTCCAGAGTGGTGGATGGTGTGTTGGTTTCTTCAGCAAAATGCGGCATTTCCTAAGTCTTTGTGCTTTGTTGGCAATCTCTGCAGTTAATGCAGAAGTTTATTTTGAAGAGAAATTCTTGGACGGTGGGTATTCTGGTCTGTTTATATGTGTATGACAGCCACTTCCTAAACTCCACGTATAAATTTCATATTCTTTGTTGATAAGTATTACCTAAGAGTCGTTATTAATAGTACTTATCATACATACAAATTAGATAAATAGTAATTTAAAATTTTTCAGATTCCTGGGAAAATAATTGGGTGTACTCTGAGCATCCAGGAAAAGAATTCGGCAAATTTGTTCTCTCCCACGGAAAATTCTTTAACGACGCAGAAAATGATAAAGGTACGTGTTTAGAAAATAATCTGCTTTGAATTATAAAACACATGGACGATTTACCTCGTTTGTTGCTGCTACTGCTATTGTAGACATTTAAAGACGGCTTATTTCAGACTTAACTGCTATGAATCGTTTGTTGCTGCTACTCTAATTGTAGACATTTAAAGGCGGCTTATTTCAGACTTAACTGCTATGAAACATTTGGTTGAGAAAAGCCAGCACTAAGAGAGTATCTCCCATGTCACTCCTATTCCATAGAAGAATTTACCTCAACCAAAAATTCTCATCTACTATACATATAAGGAATAGTGGTTATGCTTTTGGTGAAATTATTTTTGTGGTAGTACCGTTGACTGTAAATTACTGTTATAACTATGTAATTTATATTTGTATTAGAAACAAGTACTGTATTTTTGCTGTGACATGTTCTACGTTCTTGGCTTAGGCCTATGCAAGATCTATGGAATAAATACATTCTATTCCATTCTTATTTTGTTGAATACTTTCTTGATTTCCTCCTAGTAGCACAAGTATGTATTTCGTAACTCTACTCAGCTGGTTCCATTATCATGTTCACAGGAGATTGATATTTGTCCACATCTTGAGCAAAATCCAGTCTGTAGTACTTAAGATTCGTTTTAGTATTATCCTTCCACCTATGCTTAGGTCTTCTCAGGGGTGCCTTGGTTATTTTAATATACTGTAGTTTCTTTATACCTATTTATTTTATTTTATGTTGGCATTATTTCCCATGTTCCTCTTAAGTACAAGTGGGTGTGGTGGGGTGACCAAAAAAGTTGGCACTTGGTGATTTTAATTTATTTTCTTATGAGAGTTGGCTCAAGTGTTTTTCAATACTGTGCCAATGTGACATTTTCTTGTATGAACTGAAGTTTTTCTAAGGTATTGTAGATGCGTTTTTCTGTATGTAAGGCATGATTGCTCAGTCAGTGGGCTAGAAATTAGATGGGTGGGGTTTGATTCCTGACAGGAGAAATGAAATTTATCTTCATCATCCAGAACGGTCTTAACATCATATTTTTACCAGGATCTCTGTTTCAACAATAAAGATGGCCATGACATGAAGATGGACTACTTTCTTAGTAAGTCATCATTTTATGGTGTATGATAAAAATGGTTGTGCCTCGAACACATTTTCTTCTTTTCAGGTATACAGACATCACAAGATGCTAGATTTTATGCATTATCCACAAAGTTCAAACCATTTAGCAATAAGGAAAAGCCCTTAGTTATCCAGTTCTCGGTGAAGCACGAGCAGAATATCGACTGTGGCGGAGGGTACGCAAAAATCTTTGACTGCAAGCTGGATCCAAAAGACATGCACGGAGAAACGCCATATGAAATTATGTTTGGCCCTGACATTTGTGGGCCAGGAACAAAGAAAGTCCATGCCATATTTAGTTACAAGGGCAAGAATCTCCTTATTAACAAAGATATTCGCTGTAAAGATGATGTTTTCACGCATCTGTACACCCTTGTCGTGAAGCCAGACAACACATATGAGGTGAGATTTGAAAATGTTTCACTGTTATTGTTAATGGTTGAATTCAGTCATTTTTTTTATTGTAATGTTTCAGATGCCATGCTAATGTCAATTCCTTTTAATCATTTAGTTTAAAAATGTTTCTCTTTTTAGTTTAAACTACATCTGGGTTATTTTCTTAATGGTGCCACCGACTTTAAGCTTAAAACAGATATTATAAAGGAATGTTTTACTGTAATCTGACATCTTGGTTCAGGTTCTGATTGATAACGAGAAGGTAGAATCAGGGGAGTTGGAAGCTGACTGGAACTTCCTTCCCGCAAAGAAAATAAAAGATCCTGAGGCTAAGAAACCCAGTGACTGGGATGACAAGGCAACTATCGATGATCCAGATGACAAGAAGCCGGAAGACTGGGATAAGCCAGAGCATATTCCGGACCCGGATGCCAGTAAACCTGAGGATTGGGATGATGAGATGGATGGTGAATGGGAGCCACCGATGATCGATAATCCAGAGTACAAGGGAGAATGGAAACCAAAACAGATTGACAATCCCAATTACAAGGTACTGAAATGTCATTAGGAATATTTAATTTACGTGTACCTAGCTGTAAAT